GAAATTTGAAGATTTTTTTTTTTAGTTTTTATGTCATGAGTGCTGGTACTTTGCAAAAAAATAAGGCAAGTTTCCAATAACTTCTAAAAAATTTTCTAAGGTAAATAAAACTCTGCTCATCATTTCAACAACAAACAAGAAACTATTTCTTTGACCAAAAAAATCTTATCTATACAAGATGATTCACGACTCATCCAAAAACGTGTGTAAAAGCTATAATAAAATATTACAGACTTTGGAAAAAATTGTTGATATTTTTATATTTACAATCACGAAACTGGACGAATATGGTATGTTTATTAAAACGTGTATTCAGATTTTTTGCGCTCCCTCTCCAGACAGACTCAGACACATCTATTAAACAAATGCCTATTTATTTACTCAGTATTGCTGTGATTTCCTTAGTGCTCTTATTATTGTGAGTTATTCTTTGCATCAATTTTACAAGTGTTAAAAATGACCTTGGTATAGCAACGCATAATGAATGGATGTTGTTTTAATTTATGGCGAAACAAGACAAAATGCATTAGCGGCTTCTCACTAGAATGCAAAACGTTTTCCGGGTAGACAGGTGCCAAATGCTACTACCTTTACCTCGGTGGTTCAACGAGAGCATGACAGGGAAAGTTTGCGACCGAATCGTGGAAGAGATGGAGGTTGTGGCTATCCAGATCACACTATGGCAGCTAAGAAGCAAACTCTAAATACTGTGCATGAAATTTCCCATATACAGGGTGTTTCATAATCATGTGCAAATATTTTAAGGAGGTGTTTAGAAAGTAATTTTAGGGGAGGCACTTCCTATATATTTTTTTGATTTGATTTTTTTTGGTTAAACTTAGAAATTTGAATTTTGGTAAACGTTAACGACTTTTTTTCAGGATTGTCTTTGAATGAAAGAAATTAGCACCCCTTGGTTTTATTTCTCTCATATTTTTTTTCTGTTAACCAATTCCAACAAGAAAAATAGCTTTTAATACATTTCATTTAGAAACTTTTTTACTCTTCCAATTTTTTCGTACACTTAATGGTAAAAAATTAATTATTTTCCCTTGACGATTAAGTATACATAATTAGTATAACAGTTACCAAAAACGATCGTCATCTTTGACATGATTTTTCCAAAAATTGTTTTTTTATCAATAGAAAAAGCTAAGCAAATATGAACTGAAAATTTAAAAAAAAAATGAAAGCTAAGAAGAGATTTCAATATTTTCTCAAGGGGGGTCAAATCGAAAAAATCTATTGGAAGTACCCCCCCCCCTAAAATTACTTTTTAAACATATCCCTAAAACATTTGCATATCATTATGAAACACCCTGTATAACTACAAGACATTGTTGCCTTGTACACTGTTCGATAAACTGCCTGGATTATCCCAGTCAGAGTGTAGCGTATATTACACAAGACACAAATACACAGATTATGGTTAAGATTTTGTGAAAGGTTATTCCAGCAAAATGATCAAAATCCTTAATTTACTCCTGAGTTAACAGTTTTATGTAAAGCTGTGTTTATTTATATGTTATATATGGTAAATAATGTTCACTTGAAACTTGGAAACTTGAAAATCACAAGCAATTCAACAGATCATTTCCAAAACTGTTTTTCCTTGAATTTTTAGACAATGATTTCAACAATCGCTCTATTGGATTGTTTATGTTGCCAAATCGAATGGATGGTTTTCCGTCCCTCGAACTTCTTCTAAATTATCTGACTGGAGTTTTTGAAGATGTGCCCTCAACTGTCCGATAACGAATGTGAAGTTTGCACTATAGTACACCCCAAATTTTTAACAAAGTGTTCCAGATTATCTTAAGAAGTACGACGGATTGAACTAGGAGAACCGGTAGCAAGGCCACAGCGGTCTCATGACTTTTAAACCGTATCGACTTTTTTTAACGGGAACATTTAAAAAATGAAGTGTATCGTACTAAAATGGAACAACTGATGGTTTACGTGAACGTATTACAGCTGTTTCCAATAAATTACGAGTGCAAGACCAGCCAGAAGAAGGCATGTACTGGTTTGTCAAAACTGGATCATACGTGGCCAAATGTGTTTACGAGTCGATGCACAAAACTTTGAACAATTGTTAATAACATTAAAAAAGGTCAATTTTTTTCTAGACTATTAAAATAAATAAATATTTACTGATTATATTTAACAAAAGTAGGAATTAATAACAATAATAAAAGAAGTACTTAAATCCGCTGTATGTGATAACTTTACTTACGAGTATTACATTACCACACTAATTTTTTTTCGTTTTTACAGTCGACCGGTAACGTATATAATTATTAAATTAGGGGGCAATATTTCTATAAATAACTGAACTGTCAATGCAAATGAAACCAAACGCATTTTTGTTCTTCACAACCAGCTACGATAGAAAATATTGACATTCTACCAATATGAACCAAGAATACCTTTTTTTTACTAAAAAACTCTAAAATCTCTTATATTTTCAGTCAAAAGTAAAAACAAAGTCAAAGCATAAAAAAGTTAAAGCAATGAAAATTTGTAAATTTCGTTTTTGTAGCGGACTGAGTCCGTAAGAGTTAAGTTAGTTACCAACTTTCATAAATTTATCTCGATTGGTTTCGGAAAACGCCTAAATATGGGTCAAAACAGATTTTTTCCTAAATTTTCACCCAAATAGTAGATTTTCTAAGAAATGCCGAGATCATGGGTAAATTTTACTTATGACATCGTGATCAACGCGTCAAAATTGATATTTTTGTACAAAATTTAGGCAAAAAAAATCAGTTTTGACCCATATTTGAGCCAGTTTTCACCCAAACCATGAATTTTCTGAAAAATATCGAAGTCATGGGTAAATTTCTTTAATGGTGTCGTTTTCAGCGTCACAAAATACTACGAAAATTATATAGTTGGACAAAATTTAGGAAAAATTCAGTATTGACCCATATTTAGGCGTTCTCACCCAAATCATGAATTTTCTGAAAAATATCGAAGTCATGGGTAAATTTCATTAATGGTGTCGTCTACAGCGCCTCAAAATATTACGAAAATTATATATTTTGAAAAAAATTAGGAAAAATTCAGTATTGGCGTATTCACCCAAAAATTTCACCTTCATCCGAAATTCATCGACAAGTCATGAATTCTGACTACAGGATCGTGCTCAGCGCATCAAATTCCTTCGGAAATGATATTCGGGTCTCTTGGCTTTGGACTTTTTTGTAGGCCTTTGTAATTTTCAAAGTGCTCTTTTTTATTTCTTCTTAACCTCATGACATTTGTTTTTTCATAAGTAGTGAATCACCCCAAGATATTATGCCACAAAAATTCACAGTTTGTAGAACCTGATCATCACTATTTTGCTAATGTAAATCTCCGTAGCTGTCTGGATCTTTATAGCAAGAAAGAGATTCCATTGTTTAAACAACCATTAAAACGATTTCATCTGGATTATTTTGATAATCATTTTAAACGAGAATACTGCAATAGGTCAATCATGGTTGGGAGAACACATTTTCTTTTAAATTTCTCCTTTTGTCATTAGCACCAGGAGAGGGGTAACAATCCCCTCAGGAATCTTATACTGGATTTTATTTGTTATTTTTTTACAACAGCAGATCTTCAAATCAAATTCAAATTTAAGAAATAGAGCACCACCAAAATGAGAAATAGTTTCAAAATGATTTGCCCATTTCCCCCTTTATTGTCATTTAGGATTTTTTAAGACTTAAATGACAACTGACCTGTTTCGGCGTTCCGGCAAAAAATTAATAATTTTTAAAATAATCCAAGAAACTTTTCCTTTGGCCATCTGGTTTGAGGTAGCAACTTCACTGTAAGTACGAATATACAGGGTTCTTCACGGTAAGTGGTCTATTAGATGTTTCAGAGGAACCAAAGACAATATGACTCTGAAATTTTGTTTACGGGGGTTATGAGATATGTTCTCTTCAATGATGCCATCAACGTAGCACTTCCGGTTATAATTTTCTTCATGTAATTTTCATAGGGGAAAGTAGTGCACATTATGTTATTTGTGTATTCCGAAAAGCAAGTGAAAGCTCTCAGAACGAAGAAAGATATAAGGAATTTTCGAAACGCTTGCATCTGTCAAAATTTTTATAAAACATCGATTATCTCGAAAATGGTTAGATTTAGTATTCAAGGAAGCTTTAACATTTTTTACTTATTTTTAATTTATCTTGTCGATAATGCAATAACATATAGGGTGTTCCATTTAAAATAACGAATTTGACAGCTACTTCCGGTATAACCGAATTGATGGCATTATTTTGAAGGGAACAAATCTGATAACCCCCGTAAACAAAAGTTCACAGTCATATTGTCTTTCGAACCCTGTATACGACGAATGAAATCGTACTGACTTATCCAGTGCAATCCCTCTTTTTTTAAATTTGTTAAGATTTTATATGAATTAATACTAGCAGATTGCCTAACTATAGGATTTTAGACTAACTTCGCTGACTAATCCCGTGTTCAAATAAAACAAAAATCAGGATGTGCACAACAGCAGTGACCTTTCGCTCCCATACTTTTAACTGCCTGCCTTTCGAATATCACCTTTAATCAGGAAAATCTGTAGGGCATCTCAACCGGAGAAGGCGCGTACACTTCCCCATCTAGAACTAATCACAAACAAACAAATAATAATACACCCATTCATCATATCCAATTTACTTCAACTTGGGTGTCTAGATTTCAATACCCCGATAAAAATATTACTAGACAATTTATTAAACCACAAATACAACTCCTCAAGGCATCGCGCGCCGTACCAAAAGTAATTACTTCCAGACATTTTAATATTTTAATTAAGCGTACCGCACCGTACCAGATACCAATCACAAACTAAATTAATACTAGTTATAATAATTCAGCAATTAATAATCGAGATACGCATCTACATATCGTATGAGAAAAGCTGATAGCGTTTAAAATAGTAACGAATTCAATTTAAACTTAAAAACTAACAACATTAGGCACGGAATACTCACCGGGATGACGGAGGCGCCGTCGTCCTCGTCGGCCCCCTGCGAACAAAACACAATACTAAACAAAAGAGCATCGTGTATAAATTAGCGACTGCTAGCGATAACATCGCCATACGCTAAACGGGCCAGTCACGCCGTTTTTATTAACGAATTACATGGGACATCTAAGTAATTTGTCTGTCCGCGTAAGGTAATGGTCCTTAGCGCAACAAGGAAACATTAATAAAACCACAAAATCCGATGTCCCCTGCGTCCGCCTCCTAAAAACTGCATCACTGCCAGTACAGGCTCATTCTATAACATCTAATATAACTACAACTTGTTTTTACATTCACCGTAAGCAAAAATCAGGTCGATATAGTTTTAATGTAAATCATAAATCTAATCGGAATGCTTCAAGTCCTTCGAAGAGACTTTGTGACGTCACACCACTCGACTGCCTCGACCCGTCGCACAGTGGGATATATGGGAAAAATGTCTACGCACTCGGCTATTTTAACCATACAGTGGTAATTTCTTTTTTATTCTTCTTTATATGAGAATTTTATCAATCGAGTGAGAATCCATCAGCTTCAATATCAATCATAATAATATGGCATTTAAAAATAAAAAAAATAAAAAATTTCGTATCTGATGTTGATTAAACCATGAAAATAATTATGTAGCCTCACAATACTTTTCAACCTTAGGTAAACCTGAACCTGTAAATATAACCTCAAATTCATCAACACTATCCTCAAAGTAATACACACACTTCTTTTTTTAAATCTATGGGTATAATTACTAGAAAACTATATTTCTGAGACTATATTTCTTAACTCTCAAGCCATGAACATACACCCATAAAAACCCTTCAAGGCTTAACCCCAAACAATCAAAATCCAACTTCAAATTTTAAAAATTTGAGCTAGAAATTCATAGAATGAATATGTTCCACACCAAAGAATAAATGTCTTTGAAAACTATTTTTTGGAAGTACTTTTTATTTCTGAAGCCTCTAACATCACTTCTTAAATATCTAACCTCAAATCCAAGAAATCTTAGCTAGAAAATCAAACAAACGATATTTTCCAAACCAAAAATGTGATATTTTGTATTTCTGAAACCTCAAACCTATGCTATGTCCTCAAAACCTTGAAACTTATTCTCAAATCCACAAAAAAATTGATATTTAGATAGACAGATTCATTCGACAAATTATAAAAATTCCAACTATTTCGGCCAAAAACTCAAACTCAAAATTTGACTGCATTTCATTATCTTTATTTACATAAGACGTAAGCCCTTTTACCGGGTTAAGCAGTCTTCAAAAGGGTTGTTTTTCTGTTTTTTTATTTGTATTTATTTTTTTTGTGTTTTTGTTTTTTTTTCTACTTCTAATTTTTATTCAATGTTACAAAAATTTTAATTTTATTTTTAAATACTGAATTATTATCTTTGGTGTTCAGACTGATGGGTTCTTCCTCAATTTAAAAAAATCCTGTATAGATATATAAAATTATCACACCAGGATCATAAAATTAAGCATATTTGAAGAAGAATAGAAAAGTTTGTTCCCATATTTCCCACTGTGCGTCGCGTCACGTTGGCGCAATACGCTATGACTATTATCTCAAGTTACTTACTTGCAGTATAATTTTATCTTTTTCCCTGTTTATTAGTGTATTTCTACCTATGACAAAAATAAACAAAATTATGACAGAAACATTTGCGCCAAAAAGATCAGTCAAAAATCATTTTTATTAAACTACTTCTGGCTAACCAAAAATTGCACACTGAAAAGAATAGATAAGTAAAAAATACACATCACTATATCCCGAACTTCAATTTACGACTCTGGTGCAAGAAGACCATTTTTTAGATATTTCTGCAAACATAGATTTAAAAATGTACTCTTTTGGTCTGGTGAAAATATGGGTTTAGAAATCCTAAACTATAACATAAAATCATTTATTCCGTGCTATAGACTAGTGCTAGTTATACAGAGTGTTCCAATTAAAACTTGCAAAATATTGGAATTAAAAAAAACCTGATTCAATGAGAAAACGTGATGGCGTAAGTTTGGAGTCTTGAAAGCCACCCCTTAGACAATGGTGCCCTTAAACTTTAAATGGCACCCTATGTTGTGTGACACTTCATTTTAAAGCTTTTTCTATTCTGCTCACGACGACCTACGATTTTTTATATTTTGTTTTGGATATCACAATAAAATCATCACTTAGAGAATATGACAAAATACCAATGAATGAAAGAATGCTGTTCCATTAAATGTTCAAATCGGTTTTCCTCCACTTCCATACTACTATTACTAAGGGCGTTAAATTTGACGATATGAGAGGCTATTCAATTGAACCCCTGTGTCCAATCCAGTGATTTGGAAAGTCAGGTTGTGCAAAACCGTACTTATCTTATCAACTTCGACGTCACCTGTTACATGAGTGTTGTATAATAATGAAAAAGTAATATTGACGGTTGGTAAAAGACAGCGCAAAAACTAACGCTTAGGTAGGAAATTCTAGAAGGAAGCCTAAATAGTTGAAGATAGTTAGTTGAAGTAAGAACAGTGTGCAGATAGGTAGTAAGACGATCGGCGGACAGTGTGTCAAAGTAGTGAAAAGTTAATTGTTTAAAGTGTTATTAGTTAGTAGGTAATATTCTTTAAGTGCTTTGTTGTTAATTGTTCTATATAATCTTATGATTGTGATGATTATAGATGTTTCATGATAATAATTCTGTATATGTTTAGCCTTCATTGTCTTACGCTCAGGGGCGTATATTTCTCTAAGATAAAATTGTTACAATCATTATTATAGATTGCTCATTATTTATTACATGTTAAAATATGTATATTGTCGTGACTGCCCAGATATTGCATTAACGACCTCTTTGTTTCACATTTAACTTGTTTTATCATGATTAGGTTGTTCTTTGATTTCTTGTGCTCACTTTATGTCATACGTATGTAAGAGCTTTGCTGAATTTACTAACATTTTCACACATGATTATTATTATTGTTATTAATGTTGTTGTTCTCCCGAAATCTTAACTTTAGCTGGATAGCCTCCCGTATTATGGGACTCCAGTACCTTACCTATGATTATTATTATTGTTGTTGTTCCCCTGAAATCTCAACTATAGCTGGATTGCCTCCCATATGGGACTCCAGTACCTTCCCTATTATTATTGCTATTATTATTATTGTTGTTGTTGTTGCTATTATTGTTACTAAAACCTCTTCAGTTTTACTTGGAAGTGTGTATGTCAGACTTGAGTGAGATGACATTTAGTGAGAAATTAAATAAGTCCAGTTTTGATGATCATTAGCAAAGGTTCTTAATGTATGCCTTTGGTTAGCAGTTGTTTTGTATTTATATTTGGGTAGTAAGAGCAACGATCGTGGGTTTCTCTGCCATGCTCTTTCCCCACAGGAGCTCTAGGTGAGTCTGGCACTTTCATTTTATGTTAAATGGTTGTTAATGTTTTTGTTTTTCTATTTGTCACATGTTTAATTTGAATTGTATGTAAATAAAAGTTAGGTGTATTTACTCTGCTTTTGTTTTATATAATTAAACCATACATCCCCTCTACAAAGTTAGTAGCCAGCGCCTTCCGGTCAATAAAAAAATAAATACACACAACGTAGGTATTCCTTATGACGATCACATATTTTTGGCCACAACTACGTTTATTTATTTTTTGTCGAACCTAGGGTTGTTATACTACAAGGTTAAGAAAATCACGCACAGCTACGGTATGATGTGGTGGAGCCACCATCCTGTTGAAACCACACATCCTCTTCTGGCAAAGCGTTGTCATTTTCCAATACTTTCACTATCATCGGTTAGGTATTTGTTTCCAGTAGATTCAGATATATTATGTTTCCATCTAGATTTCCCAGTAGAAATAAAAGCTCTATAAGGTGGTCTTCCTGTATGCCCGATGCCCGCCCAAACATTCAATTTCCTCGGATGAGTTTAATGACGATCATTAAAAATATGTGCCTCCTGCCGTGCACGGTCATTATTCTTGTAGACAAAATAATTATTTCCACTTTTTCAGCAATTGTATAAACCATTTTCCCGAATTGGAATTAATTCGACTTTGTGATGATTTTACGAGATATTGTCGCGACAAAACAAGACGAGACAATATTGCCTCGTTTAACGTAAAACAGATAAAAATGTTGAACTGATAGAGTATAAAGTTTTTGTATTGACGAAAAAGCAAAATATTTTTTTTATCGAGAAATTGTGGAAGAGTATCGTTAGATAACGCCCGAAATGCTTCGAAATGTTCGTTCGGAAGTGGAGCAAATATTTTATTAGATCACAGAACATACTTTGATTCATTGATACAAAATCATCACTTATTCTTTAAGTGATGATTTTAATGTTATATCCAAACCAAAATTTAAAAAGCCGTATGTCGTCGTGAGCAGAATTGAAAAAGCTTTAAAATGAGGTATCGCCAAATGAGGTGCCATTTAAAGTTTAAGGGTATTTTACACCCTTGCGAAGACGTAGCTTCCAAAACTTACGCCACCACATGTCCCCCTTCAAAAGAAAATCGACGTGTCTCAGGTGTTTTTGTTTTTTTAATTAAGATATTTTCCAGGTGGGAAAGTTTTAATTGGAACACTTTGTATAACAAGCACTAGTCTATAGCACGGGATAAGTGATTTTATTTTATAGTTATGATTTCTTAAACCCATAGATTAAATATTTTCACCAGACCAAAAGAGTACAATGTCAATTATCTTCTTGCACCACAAATACGCTGGTTATATTTGCGCTATTTGTTCTGGTCGTTTACCGTTTGTTGAATTATATCCAAAGCCGTAGGCAATATTTGGAAGAGACTCAACGCATTTTTTATTTCATTTTATTACCACAATAGAGAGTTTTATGAAATAGGAAATCGTTATTTGGCGTTGTGTGTCTTATGAGTTATAAGTATAAAAGTTTACAAGTACACATGTATTGAAAAGTATTTCTTAAATTTAATACCTATTTATAAAAGGCTTCTCAAAATATTTACGT